GTCTCTTTCCTTGTTTAAGGAATCAAATTTAGTTTCGTTATGTTATTGTTTGTCCCAACTGTCACATGAAATTTTATTTATATTGAAGTTTTTTACCAATTGTGTCACTTTTTAGACTATTGTTTAGGATTAAACTTGAGAGGTCGCTGGTTAAATTATATCAGATAAATAATTATAACGAAAAATGCAATATTGGTTGGTACATAAAATTGGTGAAAATTGTAGCATTTTCAATTTCATTGATTCTTTTGAGTATATTGAAACCTCCTCGTATAATAAAATATATTAAAAACTCCTTATATATTTAAAAAATGAAACGAAGAATTTTTCCGTGTTGTTAGTTCGTATCTTTCAAAGTATCCAAAAGTGTTTCGTCGCCGAGTAATAAAACCATTTGAGAGTTGTTTATTTTACTTCGGCAATTTCTTTTCAAGTTTATGCGTTTATGCAAAAAGATATCTACGTTTTTATTTCCGTTGTTTGTTTATATTCAAGTTAAGCGAAAAGAATTTTTAATTTCGTCACTATCGTTGGAGCCGCGGTGAAAAGCGGTCAACGTTATGTCCGAATTTGACTTCAAATTCGAAATGTTCCTCGTTGTTTGTGTTTTTTTATGAAGACGTTTGTTCGTTTTTTTTTATGAAGAAATGTGTAGCAGTGTGAAGTTAATGGTTCAGTAAATGTTTGAGTGAGGAATGGAAGAATCGTCGATTCCATCCTCGTTTTGTTTCTCCCTGGTTATCATCCAAGGCTTTGGCAGTATGGAGATAGATAGTTTTGTTCATTGCACAGAGAGTAAAGCCCTTAGTTCCAGTTATGGTTTCGGATATTCCAGTGGCGTCTGGTTCCACAAATTCTAGTGCATTTTGTTAGTGAAAATCCAGGTAACTTTTTGATCAAATTTTAAAGTAAAGACAGACAATTTGTTTTGAATTAAATAATTGCTTTCGTTGACATTTAAAATTGTAAATTTTAGGTTTTGAGTTGAGCTGTCAATTTGGGTGTTTAGTTTTTTTTTTAAATTTAATGTTAACTTGTGACAGCTCGTTTTTTATTATTTTTTTGGTTATTAGTTTGTTTTATTTTTAAACAAGGTTAACCTCCATATAAATTTGTAGTTTTATGTAGTATCTCCAACTCCTGGAGTTTGTAAGCGGATGACACGTAAGTTTTGTATTTTGTATTTCTCCATTTTGTAACTGTTTGTGGTGACACATAAATAAATGTTAAATTTTGTTGTCTTAACATTTTATTTATTTTTTTTGAGCTAACCTTTTTTGATTTTTTTTTTGAAAAAGATATGTTTTTGTTGTTGTATAATTATTTCCTAGTTACAACTAGTGGTTGTAATAGGCATGATTAGGCAGCCCAAGTGGCGGCCTATATTAAATTTCTTGAGGTGTTTCTTGTTTATTTTTATTTTGTTTATCCCAAGAGCCCTTTATTTCATTTTTTTTGTAGTTGCCCCATTCCAATGCCCTTATCTTTTACTTATCCACGACCCCAGCTCTACTACGAAACCCTGAGTGCCGTTCGCATAAGTAGCGATTATTTTGCTTGCCCTGTCTCCACCCCCAATAGTTTTTCCCACAATTTTCTATCTCCCGTATTAATGCCCCTGTGGTAGGCAAAATATTATCGTTACAAAATAGCAACTATAAATTGTAAATAAATTACGGAATTAACTGGTTTACTCATTATCAATGTTTTGTACAAAGAATTATAAGGCTTACCCTTTGGTTCTACTGATGAGTTCGTACCAGGCTGAAGAGTTGGTCGGTGGTACCGACGCTAGCGTCGCCGTCGCCCGAGGCTCAGCACGAGAACCGTCCGGAACTAGATGCGTGTCGATCGATCGTTGTCTGACGAAGAAGTGATGATTTGAGATCGTTTCTAGGGCACAAACCAGCCTCTAACTGTGGGGTGGTCAACAGCTCGTAGGCCAGGCATGCCATAAATCAACCATTTGTTTCAATATTTCTGACATAGAATACAAAGAAAAAAGCCCAATTCTGCGTACTTTAACATGATAAATGAGAGCCAGTTTAAGTTTTACGAACTCACAGGAAATAATATATTTTAAAAAGATCTTTGAAATACAGCACCCAAATTAAGTCATATTACAGTACCGTAACAGAAAAAATATTAACTGTAAAATTATGAAATGAATTCGCACATACTTTCCCAAACAACTATTATCGTTAATATTTAATTAAAACTTTCTCGCCTGAAAAATATTTTATAGCTATTGTTAATAAGTGTCGGAAAATTTAAATTTAGCGCCTTTGCATTTCCGGATACGTCCGCCATCAGAGGCCACTTTTTTGGTCTCCTTTTATCTGGCGTTGAAGATTATTTCGAGTTCTGTCTAATATCATGATCTTTGCCTTACTCCTATTTAGCTTTAGTCCATATGTTTTGCTTTTTTCCTCCAGACATCTCATTATGTCTTCCATTTCTTCTTGATTTGCCGCGATTATTAAAGTGCATCAGCATATCTCAAGTTATTGATTTTTTGACCTCCTACTGATATTTCGCCCTTCCATTTGTCTAGTACCTTTCGCATAATGTGTTATGCGACATTATGCATCCCTGCCTCTGTTCTGAAATGATCGGAATGGATGTTGTTTATTTTTACTGTGCACTTATTATTTTGATATAGACTTCTAATTAGTTGAATTAAGTGATGGGGTGTTCCTATTTCCGCTAGTATGGATCATAGCTGCTGCCATTTGACTTTATCAAAGGCGTTTTGTATAATCCACAAAGCATAGGAGTATTGAATTCATGAGTTTCACAAAATACAAATTTTGAGAACGATTTCCGAAGTAGAAATTGAAACGTACTTTAACCTTTAATTGTGGCTTATTCCCATTTAAATAGCAATTATATCAAATTAAAAATAATACAACAGGGGAGGTATGGGACAATGTCCCAGACCTCCCACGCACGCTATGTTCAAATCCTCCCAGTGGAGCATTTTACAATAAATCAGTGAACAAACATAACCTCAAGGTGCCCCAGCGTTTTGTATTATATAATTTACAAACTTTAATAAAAAGCTTATCATTATATTGGCCTTAAATTGATATATCAGAAAAAATAACTTACAACCAAGTTAAATTCTTATCTTTCAAAAATGAAAATCAATATAATTCTCTCTTGATCTACAACACATGTGCTTTTACAAACACTGAATAAATAGGAAATGCTACAACCAGTAATACATCGGGTGAGAAAGTAAAGAACTGATAATTCACAATAAAGCTGGAAAATTTGAAATGTCCCACTTCTCCCCTAATAGTACACCCTCAACATATTTACTTCTTTTGTAATTTTCTTCTAAACATTTAATACAGTGAGATATCCCAAATAACACAAAATTTCACCGTTTATCTCTTTATTTAAATACAAGTTCAAAGTAAATTAGAAACAAATACAATGTTAATTATTTTTATTTAAATAACACTAACTCTTTTGACTTTAAGAACGGACATTCATTTTAAAACTCCATACAAATACGGAAATCACCTAAAACAAAAATATTTTTGATAAATAAATTCAACTCGAAGATTTAACGAACAGAAAAATGTGAAATATAGTAATTTTAAAAGAAATATTTGTTCTGTAGCTTTTATACTTTTTTCTGTCAATTTTGATCTAGCTATAGTCCTTTTCCATCATATTGATAGCACATTATGTATGCAAATCCTCAACAGGTCAAAAAACCATAGGTGTCACCCTATACTTGTTTTGAAATAAATAAAAAAAATAATATTTTAAGATGCCGTCAACAATTCATTATCTGTTAAAAAATCTTCTTTAAAATAAGTGTCCACTAATCTCACTATACCTTTTTTGTGAGTAAAAAACGTCGGTATATATGCCACACGATTATTGTTAATTATACACGGGTGATTAACGAGAGAATTCAATGTTTCACGAAATAAATTAATGTAAACAGTAATTTAAAGGTGATTATTGTTTTCTATACAAGTTATCGCCTGACACAAAAATACCTTCTTTGAATGATTACCTGGAATTACTGATAAGGCTTCACTATGATAGTTTAAGTAGTTTTTATGCCACATTACAGTTTATGCCAATAATATAAATTAGAAATTGTTTGCATCTTCCATTTAGTTTGTAGATGTACATTGTTCATGTCTTACCTACCTACGTTTTTGGTGTCGATATTTTGTTATTTGCATTTAAAAATGACGTCGACAACAGGTTTCATCCCGGTTAAGTGTAGTTTTAAAGGTGCCTTCAGTCTAAGGGAGAAAAATATAATATTAAATGTACACGATGCACTGGTACATCAACGCCCTTTAAATAATGTTCGTGAAATCGTTAACATGTGTTCAAATATGACAGGGGTTGAAGAAGCAACAATTTATAGATTCCTAAAAGAAAGAAAAGGAGGAATTGTTTCATCTCCCAAGAAGAGTGGAGGGAGTAAACCGTTGGAAATACATAAAAACATGATAAGACGCAGCGTCCACTCATTTTTTTTAAGAAAGAATTTCCAGCATTGGACAAAATCCAAACATTAATTAGAGAAAACGAAGAGTTACCAATCATAAGCAACAAGAAATTATGGGGACTATTGAGAGAGATGGGATTTCGTTGGCAAAAGAATAGAAGAAAATCCGTTTTAATTGAAAAAGATTACATTGTATGTTGGAGACGAGATTATCTAAGAACTATTAAAAAGTACCGAAAAGAAGGGAAAACAATTTTTTATTTGGACGAGACTTGGCTAAATGAAGCTCATACTGTACCATATCTATGGGTTGATACAAATGTGAAAAGTTCCCGTCAGGCATTCATCGAAGGTGTATCAATAATTATTGAATTAAGAGACAAAAAAATACTTTAAATGATCTTATTGCTGTATTAAAATGTGATAAAAATAAAATGATACGAAAACTGGAAATTTAAAACATGTACAAAAAAGTGTGGAATCCTCAAAAATTGTAATTAACAACAAAACTTACTCTGACAAGGTTAATACCCATACTGATAAAAATACGAAGTCAACTGAGGCTGTTGCCAGCTCTTCGATAAAATCAGAAGTGTCAAGAAATAATGTTTCGTGTGCTATACTGAATGCTGTTACAAATGAAAAATGTAATGAAATTATAAGTTTAGGTGAGGGATACTTCACCTCGTAACAATAATGAATGGAAAGAAGTGAAAGAACAAACAAAGAAGACAACTTATAGTAGGCAAAAATGAATCCATTAAAATAAACGGCAAGGAATTTAAAGGAGTTCCAAAAATGGCAATACCGGGTGGATCCACAGGTGGACGCAAATGACTTACTAAATATGCTTCAACCACACTTTCCAGAAGTAACCTGCGAGTCTCTTAGTTCGAAACATCCAGATTTATATTCGTCATTTAAGGTAAGCATTTATGAGTCTAATTTCCAGAATGCTATGGACTCTGATAAATGGCCTCATGGCAGGGGCGGCTGGTCCTATGAGGCAGGTGAGGCAGTGCCTCACCAGTATCAATCGACTATTTACGTTCTTTAACTACAATTTTTTGGAATTAAACTTTTTGGAATTTTCTAAATAACTTTATTTTCATTATGATAAAAAATTAAAATATGTACACCCCTGATGTCTTATCTTTGTATATTTCTTCATAATCTACGGGCCGGACAAGGGACAAGCTTAAACCACAAAATATTAAATAAACAACGGCTCCATTTTCCGCGCCAGCAGCTACTATATCATCTGTGCATCTCATTCTCTCTTTAAAAATTATAGCCGAGGCAAGCCTCACGGCATTGCTCTGTCTGGCATATTAGACATCACATTATGTAGCGAAATTCAACATGATTTATTTATTTTCTGCCCACTATTTCACCGAACAGGAGAGGCATGCCGCTCTCGTTTGGTGTAGTTCTTTTAATTAGCAGCGTTGCCGTTTGGGTACAAAGGTACCCAATTCGCTACATTTTTTCCCTCGGGGTATAAAAGTACATTTTAAATAAAACATAGATTTTTATTTGAAAATTGTAACAACATTGGAGTATTTTCCTTTAGTAGATGGTACTATACATATTGTTCTATTGTTTTCCGATTTAACAAAAAATATTTTTTTTCTATGCATTTACCAGATTGGCAACATTGGTACATTTTGGAACATTTCTGCAAAATTGTTGTAGTAAGTAGTAGTTAAATTACTTCCTGTTGACCTGTTGGTGCGGCAGGATCACGTTTGACGTATCTCGTGTTGTTTTTCATTAAAAAAACAGTAAGATTACATGTTATATAATAAGTGCAATTCTAATTAAGTTTTTTTAATCATTTTGGTGTGTTTGTTTTTGTCTGCAGGATTTTCGGTTTTAGTGAAAAATGGATTTAGCACCGAGCACTTCGTCACAACTTTCCCAGGTAAATGTAAATATTCGTAATACTTGTGATCTCGTAAATTTTTTAGTCAATCAGCAGAATTTTTCAAGTCATTCATATGAAGATAAATTATATATAGTTAAAGTAGTAAAACGACCTATTCCAGATTTAAGTAAACATCTTGTTTCTATCGGTGGCGTTGGAAAACCAAATCGGGGATTTCAAAATGCATGGTACGAAAAGTTTGACTGGCTTACGGGTAGTATAACATTAAATAAATTGTTTTGTTGGCCATGCATTTTATTTGCCACAGCTAATACTAGCGACAAAGTTTGGTTCAAAAGTGGTTATACTGATTTGAAAAATTTGTCTCGGAGTGTATTGTTACACAATAAAAGTTCTCAACATATTACATCGAATTGCAAGCTTACTCTTATGAGAAAACAAAAGCAAAATATCGCCACAGCACTAGACAATTGAAAAATAAAAGCACACGTAAAATAGATATTGAAAATTTCAATGCTAGGGTTAAAGAAAATCGGCAAATTTTAAAAAGTCATAGATATTACGTTACACCTCTGTATGCAATTTAAATTTTAGAACTCAGTTTTCCTTTTAGAATTTATATTTTTTGAAGTTTTTCTAAAATAATTATAATTTTAAAAAATCGTGAAATAAAAAACCAAAAAACAAAATTTAATCCTTTGTTTAAGAAGTTTATTTAACGTAAACGGCCTCACTTTATGATGTCACAAAATCGACCTTCCGGCTAACATCTTACGACGAGAACGATCAATGGAGATATGCTAGACCGAAGCTTCAACTGAAGGGATATGTCAGAGCGTGAAGAAGATGGCACTAGATTAGCAGTCGCCATTTATAACACTTACTAACAAATCTCCCAGATAAAAATACCTACTAACCCCCAAAAAAACATAAAAATCCCAAAAAAATTAATAAAAAATATAAAAATTCAAAAAAAAATATAAAATAATAAAAAATTCACAAAAAAATTATAAAAATAAAAAAAGGCCACGGGAGAGGCCACCTAGATCCTTGAGGCTACAACTTGGCCGCTAACCAAGGTGCAGGCTCGAGGATTACAGCTCCCTCGTTTTTCGTTCGCTTTTATCTCACGATATGAGATTTCATGATAAACGGAGTAAGTCGCTTAACGACACCTTGGGTATGATTTAAGTTACATTACAGCTCAATCGCGGACTTTTTCAAAAAGCAGTCAGCCCTTATGTTGCACCTTCAGTGCGCATAAGGAAGGGTGGAGGAGGGCTTAGGAGAGCTTTGAGGTGAGGATGACTTTTGTTGATCCGCGCGCCTATCGTCAGAAGTCCTTCTTACGCCAAGTCATTGTTTGCTGGCGCGAGCAATGCCTCCTTAGCCGGGTATGACTGGAGCAAAGAGAAGCTAACCATAATAATAATAATTTTCCTTAAGTGTAGTGTGCCTCACCATCTTGTACTATCACGAGCCGCCCCTGCCCCATGGAGCATATGTCCAGCGTTTTTTATACCTACAGAGAACGCACCTGAGAAATTCGACATAACTAAAGAATACAAAAATTTGGAAAGAAAAAAAATATTTTAAAGAATACAACATTTTAACAGTACCTTCTATATATTTTTTTAAACGTATACTACATATAAAAGCCAATATAACTAACTGAATTGTGTTTCGAAACTATTGTACGGATTTATTATCAGATGTCGCTATTGCGTCCATATCGAAGCCTTTTTAGTGTTGCTTCTTAAAAGACAGAGAATATTTATTTCTCACGTTGAGAACGCCTATGAATAACTGTTCTGATGAGACCTATTAGGTCGAAATACGTATCAACAGATGCTTTAGGCGTGAAATCAAATATTTGCTGACTTTTTCATATTATTCGGATCTACTCTGTACGAGTACAAGAAACCAATTCGATAAGGATTTCTGCTTAGTTGAGGAGACATGTCGTGGCATGCAAATTTTAGATTCCCCATGCCTCAACATCTTTATCAACGTCTGTTATACCTTGCAATTTTAGAAGCTTCAGATAAAGCAGAAATCTGAATTGTATTTCGAAACTATTTTACGGATCCAATATAACTACTTTTCATTTAAACTCTGATTATCACCAGTATCCAACTAGGCAAAATGACTTCATCAGAGTACCAAAACATAATACAGCAAGATTTGAAAATTCCCAATATTATATGGGTATAAGACTTTTCAATTATCTTCCCAACAGTATTAAATCTGAAATGAATTTAAATAAATTTCGAGGTAAATTAAAATCTTTTCTATTGCAAAATTGTTTCTACAGTGTAGATGAATATATGGGTGATGTAAATAATTAATTTTACGTACTTTTTATCCTTTTATTTTGAAATTGTGATGTTTTATAATGTATTTATATTTTTTTATTCGACTTATCCTATATGTAAATAATCTTTCAGGATGAATAAATTATTATTATTATATTGGTAAAGTAGAAAATGCCTTACCGATTCCTTTCAGAACATCCTAATTCTTCCTTTCATTGTTTGAATTAAAATTTTCAATTGTTGACCGTCAAGTTCAGGTCTCATATTGATTCTTTGTAGACGGTCGACATCATCTTCGTCTATCCTAAAGATCAGTATTACAAATTGTTTTCCACTGTTTTTCCTAGATAGAAAACGCCAGTGACTAGTTAACAATCCTGGATTTTGGGATTCTAGTTTTGAAAGAATAACATTTGGTCTTTTATCACCTGATTTGCGACAAACCCATAAAGATACTGACCTCAATTTGTTTGTCATAGGACCCATCATGATCTTAACTGCTGCGGGTGGTAATTCTTTTATGTCTGCGACTCTTAGTTGGATACCCCTGTGGTGTCCCTTTAACTTCGGAACCATATCATCAAGCCACGCTTTCGAGTACTGATCTTTAGCCGTGAAGACATATTCACCTCCCGTGAAAATACCGTGATCAATTTGTGGTCTATCTTTCGGAATAATACTTGCGATGTGTGACCTTAATACGGCATCCAAAACACTTGTTTCAAATTCACTTAATAGTTTGTCTGGATATCGTTTGTGAACAACTATCGTCTTATTCTCTATGTTGCTCTGTACTGCACTTTGTTCCATTCCAAAGGATCTACTATCTCCCTTGGAATTGTATTCCATCTCATCTCCACATGTCCACATGTCCAAGTCAATAATATCTTCCGTATCATCCAAATTTCGGTTATTCGTAGAAGGGTTAATTTTCTCAATTCTATTTGACTTATAAGGATTATCACGAACAACTATCGTCTTATTCTCTATGTTGCTCTGTACTGCACTCTGCTTTATTCCAAGGGATCTACTTTTGTCTTCCATCTCATCTCCACATAAGTCAATAATACCATCTCCTGGTGGTATAAAATTTATTCTCTTATCTACTCCCGTCCTATTTTCACGCGACATATTTTTGGCGTCTCGGCGATTATCTGAGCTTCTATTTCGATCCAGAGAACTTCTATCACGATTAGGAGTACTTAGTTCACGCGTTTCACGACGAAATTGATCCCTTTCATCGCTGAACGGACGCCTTTCTCGAGTTGTGAAAGGGCTTGTTCTGCGCGTTTCTTGTCTTCCATTGGCGGGAGGGCTTCTCTCACGGATTCC